CAGGGGTCATTTCTCCCAGGAGAACCTTCTCATATATTCCCCTGCACCAATATCTATCTGAATCCATTTTCCTTGGTCTTGACTAAAGAGTCCTTTGCCTTTTTTTGTTAACAGATTCTGTTACACCTTCCTTCTTGGTTCCTAAATAAAGAACAGAGCTTTCTTTTCTGGTTTCCCAGAGATTTTTCCCTTAATATGAAGCTGTGCCACATTGTCACTTTCTTTGCCTTAGCTATGCTTCTTATTTTCTTTTAGACCCAGGTCCAGTGTTAACCAGTGTCTTGTATGTAAGCTGATTTTCCTTTTTGGTTCCAATTTCTTTACCTACCTACACTTTCTTCTGTCTGCCTCTTGGGTGAAGCTTTTGTCTTTTAAAAAACTTCTTTTTTAACTGAAAATATTAAGTAGCGTGTATAAAAACCACTTTCCAAATTGAGCTAACTGCTTTATACTTATAATAATCTATGAAGTAGAGAATATTTCTCTTACTTTACTAAGTAAGAAATGAAGTTTAGAGAGTTTTAACATACCAAATAATGTAACTAGTAAAAGAAAAAGCTAACATTTGAATACAGCTCTAACTGAAGCCTAAGGTCTGTTTCTTCAGCTTGAATGTTTGTAAAGCTGGCATCTGGACTCTTGTGGATCTATATGGTATCTGCCATCTTATCCAGGATAGGTGGTCATGAAAAGCTTAAAAATACCCAGAGATTGACATAAAAATAATTTTCATCTAATGGGGTCTCTTGTTTGGGGAAAGAATGCGTGCAGTTTGCATTGTGTTTAGGCCTTGTATCCTTGTGCCCATCCCCTCAGGCCCCTTCATGGCTGTGCTCTTTGCCAAACTCGAGAACATGCTGCAGAACTCCGTCTATGTCAACTTCCTGCTGACGGGGCTGGTGGCCCAGCTGGCCTGTCACCCCCAGCCCTTGCTCCGCTCTTTCCTGCTCAACACCAACATGGTCTTCCAGCCCAGTGTCAAGTCCCTGCTGCAGGTGTGCGATGCATGCATGCATGGGTGCGTCTAGGCTCCATGGTGGGCCAGGCCAACAGCTGGAGTGTCCCTGGGAGGGCTGGGAACATCCAGGGGGGCTAGAAAGGACAGTTTTCAGTCTGAAGCCACCCAGGAATGTCATGAAGTTGTGCTTCATAGGTACTGGGCTCTGTGAAGAATAAGATTGAGAGCTTTGCAGCTGCCCAAGAGGACTTCCCAGCACTACTTTCCAAAGCCAAGAAGTACCTCATTGCCCGTGGCAAGTTGGACTGGGCCGAGGGCCCTGCAACAGGACCTGTACCCCGCCGATCTGATCCCCTAGGTGAGACTTACCCCACTACCCTTCTTCTTACTTTCCCTAGACCATTAATTAGCCCAGGTTAATTGAGTTCTTATTAAGGTAAAGGCTAAGCCAGGAACTGGGAAGCTGTAGAAAATTGAGCCTTGTTGTTTTCCCCTCAAGTTTTTGGTGAGAAGATAGAGCTTAACTCTACATAGTAGTACCAGTAAAAATTTCTCTCAGTGATGGGGGAAGGCAAAAGGACAGACTAATATTTAGACTCTGAGATAGTGTTATGGCTTGGTGAAGAACATGATATTTAATATTTTAGAGATGGGTAGGATTTATAGGCAAGAGTGGGAGATTTTTAATCTTTTGTCATATTGGTCTATTTACTAGTTGGAGCCATTTTGGAAAGTGATGAAATAGCTTGCTATAATCTTTTGAAGACTGGTGCAGAGCACAGGATTCTCAAACTGGAAGTTGAGCTAATAGAGATTGTGCTGCTTTTGGCAATGAGAAGCTATTGGAAGTGATGAGGTGTTAACTCCTAGGTTAAATGAATTAGACCTAAAAGAAAATGCAGGCAGGAAGAGCTATCGGGAGGCTAGTGTAGTAATGCAGGTGTGACCAGTAAGACTTGAATTGTAGTGAAAAAGGAAGAATTTGATATGGCAGAAATGGGAAGAAAGCACTGACAGAATTTGATGAGTAGTTGTGTAGTGTAAGGAAGGGGGAAAAGCTCCATAATATATCCATGAAGTTTTAAATCTAGGGCTTACATTCAGCAACTATCTGAGCTCATGCTATATATGCTGTGCACTTGATACAGGGGAGTCAGCGAGATACCTTTGGTCCAAAGATATCAAAGATCTGTAGAGTAATCAGAGGATGTAATAACTGAGAGAGCAAGATTGCAAAGGTGTGAAAAATCACGGGATCCAGGGCACCAGTAAGGATTTGGACAAACTAAGGGCTTGGTGAGTTTGTTCCCTCTTAAAGACAAGTGAGAAAATTGCATATATTAATAGAGTTGTAAAAATGTTAGGAAGGTTAGCTATTGATGTCATCCTTTATATGCTAATCATACTAAGAGGCACAGTAATGAGAGCAAGAGAACAGAAGTAAGATGGCAGCTTCAGCAGAAAAGTGTATGGGTTGGGAAGAGTATCCCACATAACTGTAAGGATCCAAGGGAAATTTGTTAATATGACCCAACCTTTTCCTAGTCCATTACTGTGAATATGTGTACTTCCACAGTCTTGGCCCTGGTCACTGTTGAAATAATACATTTTGTGTCACTAAGGACACCAAAGGAAATAAATCATACTCCAAGCTTGTAGATTAGTAGAGATAAAAAACATGTAAACATTAAAGTACAATATGATAAGGACAATAAATTAGGAAGTTAATGGAGAGAAAAATCAGAGGTTTCCCAGAGTTCAGGATAGGTCTGGAAGGATTAAACACAGTAGAAATTAGAGCAAAATTTGGGCAAAGGGAACTACAGAAGCCTGAAAAGTATTTGGAGGGTTTCCCAGAGACCACATAGATATGAATACAAAAGGAATGTGGATAAAAAAAAAAAGGAATGTGGGTGTGGGGAGTTTTGAGAAGCGAGAGGGTAGTTGGGGCCTGTTTGTGAAGGGCTGGGAATACCGTGCTTAATAAGTTTATGTAGCATCTCTCTGTAGCTGGTATAAGGGATAGTTAATGGGGGTATAGAGACTAGAGTCTAGGCCCTATATAGAAAGTCAGGAAACTAGATAGAAAGTTAGTATCTAGGAGAATTAGCAAAATTATATTCAACTCTTTTTAATCTAAGGTGACATGAAATTTTCTGGCCACAACTGTGAGTTAGTGTTTTTTTTTGTTGGCTATGGGATAGGGACTGTTAGAAGATGAAGTGGTGGTGGTAGTTCAATAGAGTGGAACTTGGGAGTAACAATGAGATATGAAAGACATTCATCACTGAACTATGATTGAATAGTCCCTGTCAGTATTGAAGGAGCAAAAGAATGGGGACAGGCATTATTGATGGATAGGCAGAGGGAAGGTGCAAGTAGATGACTAGTTCTGGAAGATTATGAGATGCATGAAGTAAGGGCCTGTTGTGAATTGAGGAAAAATACCTTGGTGGTGGTAGAATAGTGATCGGAAAGAGATGAGTTTAGATGCATCTCTTAGAGTGAGGGAGTAGGGAGAATGAAGTAGCTTAGATGTTGCTGGTTAAAACTAATGTTGTAGATTAGCTGGCTAAGGAGGGTGGACAGAGGGAAGAAGATGGACAGGCAGTGATCTGATAGTAGAGTGAGAAAGAATCCCTTCCCATTCTCTTGCTATTAGGTGCCATCAAGCCAGAACCCACTCACAGCTGACTCCAGTGGGTTTTTGGAGGCTGTAGGTTGCACAGGATGAGATAACCAATCTTTCTTCCAAGGAGCAACTGGTGGATTTGAACTGCCTGCCTTGGGGTTGGTTTCAGATTTATCTTGAGGAATAGGACAGAAAAAGGATATGTCTGAGATTGTTGTGGGCCTATTTGGTTATTTATTCCATTCTCCAGGAACCCTAGTCAAGAAGTCCTTAAATCTAGAGCGTAGGGGAATCTCCGTTCCTAAAGCAAGGGAAATTCCCTGACGCCAGCACCTCTGTCATATGCTCCTCTGTGATACCCTTTTGTTCTCAGTGAAGAGCCGGAGGCCATCCTTGGGGGAGTTGCTCCTGCGGCATGCACACAGTCCAACCAGGGCCCGCCAGGCAGCACAATTGGTCCTTCAGCCTGGGCGAGACGGAGCAGGACTTGGCCTAGGTGGAGGTTCCCCTGGGGCTTCAACTCCAGTTCTACTGCCCCGGGGTGGGGCTCCTGAGCGCCAAGGTGAGGCTCTACGTGTCAAGAATGCTGTCTACTGTGCAGTCATTTTCCCTGAGTTTCTCAAGGAGTTGGCTGCCATCTCCCAGGCCCATGCTGTCACCTCACCTTTCTTGTTGGATACTTCAGAGGAGGGATCTGGCTCTCCTGTCTCAGGCTTTGGGCCCCTCAATCCTTAACTGACTTCTACAGACAATCAGGGCTGTGGGTGGCCTGGGTTGGGGCCAGGGCACAGGCTCCTTTTTATGTTTGGAGGCAGTGGCAAGAAGACTTTTTAATTTATTTCAGAAAAATTGTTTTATGGAGAACTTATTGCAATATGTATAAAAGGGAAATCTCTATTCTGTGTTCATTTCTTTCTCTTCTTTTTTATGGGGCAGGGGCACGGGCACTAAGAAGGTTGTACATCGATGGGGAGGTGACCAAAGTTATATTCTCTCTGGTGAGGATATTAGATCAGGTTCAGGGCTTTCTTTATGTTTTATGCCCTCTGGTGGTCTAGTGGCAAGAAGCTGCGCTTCAATCCCAAAGGTACACGATTTGAGGCCAGCAGCTGCTCCGTGGGAGAAGGATGGACTATCTCCTCCCATGTGATTAACTGCCTCTGAAAACCCCCCGCAGGGTCAGCCATGGGTCGGTTCTGACTTTATATCACGCAACAACTTTATGCCCTTAGAAGGAAGGGGCTCATGAAACCTGGAAAAAGTAGAAACTGTCCGCCTCGTCTGCGCCTCAGAAGGAAGAAGCAACATGGGCTCAGGATGGTTTGAGAGGGCAGCAGCTGGTGTTTATTTGGATCAGTATCTCCATGCCAGATTTTGGGGGGCTTGCCCCCTTCATCTCTTGCCTCAGCCTCAGTCGTCGCTGTCGAATTCTGAGGACAGACCCTGCAGCAGGGGCAGGGACATGGAGTGCCGGTCGGGATCCCCCGGGCCCCCACCCTGGGCTCCTGGTGGGGGGTTGCGGGGACTGAAGAGCCAGTTTTCTGCCAGGATTGGGGATACAGTGACAGCTTGACTCATGCCCTGGTTTTTACCTCCCTAGTTCCCCTCCTTCTGGTCCTGTGTTGCCACCATTTCTCATCCTCCCCTGCTTCCTTCCCACCCTCCCTTCTTCCCTCCCTCTTCACTGGGGTCCACAGTCATGGGGCTCACAAATTCTTTAACTAACCTCCTATATCCTTACCATCTTGTCCCATCCCTCATTTTCCTTTCCCCTAGCATTACCTGACATCATCATTGGTCCCCTCCGGAATGGGTTTCGGCTCTTGTGGGAGAATCTGGTGGGTCTGCCCTCTGGCCCTTCTTGGGGAGGTTGTGTAGATGGGGCTGGTACAGGTGGAGGCACAGCAACGACTTCGGGGATATCAGCAGGGACTGATGTGGGGGACAGAGGGGGCATGATGCTGAGATTGGGTCTCATCCACTTGGCCCCATGGGGCAGTCGGTTCTTGGTCAGCGGTTTCTGTGGCCCCAGGACACCCTTGGGCTGCAATGAAAACTTCAGGCAAGAGAAGGCAATGGGCAGTGACCGTTGTAACCGGAGCAGCTGTGGCTCACGTGCTGTGGGCAGTAGTCCAAGCTGCAGCCATGAGCAGGAGAAGACCTGGTAGATGACGTAGATGCTGTGGATGCTTCGAAGCCAAGGAAGAGTCGGCTGTAGGCTCACCTGTCCCGGTGGTAGCAGCAAAAAGGCCACCTTCTTGCGCAGACCACCTAAATGTAGGCATATACGACAGGGTTGTCCGTCCACCAGTCGCATCTCTTCATAGGTTATCTCTCCTCGGCCATTTGGTGAGTATTCTTGAGTACAGTGGGCAAAAGCTCCGTCAGACTCTGCCTGCTCCAGAAGACTTGGCAGTGGCCCCACTGGTTGCAGTGTTCTCCGGCCCTGGCGACCTGGCAAAGCCAGGCGGGAATGGGCTGGGCGAGACTGTTTGACCAATACTCCCAGTAGGTCATAGCAGGCTGCATCTGATAGGAAAGGTACTGCCACTACGCTGGGCCCAAAGCGCTCTTCAGTGACCTGCAAGTTGCCAGTTTGTAAGTCAAGGACTAAGTGAAGCTTAGAAGTCAACTAGTAGCATCTCTAGACAGCCCTTCCTACTGTCTACTCTTCAGGTACATCTCCACAATGTGCTTAGATTATCATATGTCCTGCTTATCTCTCAGTTCTCTTCTGCAGCAACACTTTGAATGTTTGTGCGAACTTCCAGAAACAAAAGAATTGCATAAAAAGAATCTTTGTCCTAATTTTGTTCGTTTAGTTGAGACAAAAGTGAGTTCATAAGATTATAGGTTTGTAGAAAGCAGAAGTGATTCACAGTCTGTATTACAGGAAGCGGACCAAGAATGGTTTCAAATTGATAATACTTGAGCTTTGAAGGAATGAGGCAGGCAGGCAACTAGACATGCAGGATGACCATTGAAAACCTCAACTTAGAAACCAAGAGGGCCACAGAATTAATTTTACATTACTGAAATGTAAAATACTGAGAAGGAGAGGCAGACAGGAACTCGACTATGCAAGGACATACTAAATGACTAGAGTTTTAGCCTGAGAGAAGGAAGCGTTTGACACTTTAGCTCGAAAGGTGCTATGATGTAGTTAAGAAAGCTAATTTGAATAGGAAGATATGAGATAAAGTGTCAGGTCTTAACATCTTGTCCTGCTAATCCCAAGATTGAATATTTTGGGGAGCAGTGCTTATATGGTGGCTGGCTGGCTCCTGGTAGAAAGATCAGCCATCTCCTCTTGTTAACATTTACAACCTTGAATGTGCATTGGAGAGTCAGTTATGAGTCAGAATACTTAATAACAGTGAGTTTGAAGTTCTTTTGGTTTTGAAGAAAAGTCAGTATTAAAAATTCTAATGAATTGAAATAATCAGCAAAGGTAATAGACATATGGCATGTCTAATCAATAGAACTTGAGTATTCAGAGAATGTGGGGAAAAGAATCTTCAAGGATCATTCCTAGGTGAGTAGTTAGGTTGATGATATCAGTCACCCGCAGAACTACATAGGTGTGTCCCTTCATATACGGTATTTGTAACTCCTTAGTATACACTCGCTTAAGCAGCAGAGATTAAAGATAGTTCTTTCAAGGGAATTTGAGACCTTATCTTTATAATACCAGTTCTAATCTGTTTATAGAGTTGCTTTGAGTAATACTCAATGGCACCTAAGAACAACAAAATGCTTTTAGGGATTCGAAGGAGCTCTGGTGGGATAGTCCAAAAGGAATTATGCTGTTAACCCAAAGGCAGTGCCTCTCTGCTGATTTGAATCGATCAATTCACTACCAGCTCCTTGGGATGGACAATTTCCTGTGCTATTTAAGAGCCTTCTGAAAAACCCATTGGAGGGTTTGATATGAGTCTGTACCAAGTAGACAGCAATGAATTGAGTTTCCTTTCATTTTACCGTTTTGTTTTTTCCTTTTTTGAGCTTGGTGAGGCGGGGTTTGTTTTGGTTCCCCCCCTCCCCTCCCCGTTTTGACCTGTCCAAGATATTGCTGAGAATTTAGACTCTTTGTTCTGCTTGGGTACAAGGGCACTAACAATTCTCTTTCATATTTGAACCCAGTGCCTAAAATGCTGTATGCGCCCCAATCCCAGTCACCAAATTTACATACCTGTGTATGCACTCTAAGTGGCATTGCCTACTTTGCTGGCCCCTAGTAGAATTCACAAATTTTCCTTAAGACTTTTTTCTGCTATACAAAGCTATCTTTGAAGTACTTCTAGCATAAGAGAAAGGTAGCTCTCTGATTTGGTTATGTCTGTTGTATATTGTCACTGGCCAAGGAAATAGATATTTCTTGGTCTGTATGGGGAAGTTTCTTCCTATTCCTTTTCCTTTGCTTAGCTCAGAGATCTAATACTTTTGGATACCTGAAGACTAGGGTATTGATTTCTGCCCCCACCAGCTGAGTTTCTAAGGGGTGAAAGCAGTGCACCAGTGGGATGGATGCTTTTAGATAGAATGTTCTACCCCATTAAAATGCAAAGTTACTAACTGCAGAAACTCAACCTCACTGCTTCCTTTGTGCGTAGCCTCTTTACAAGTGAGACAAATGGAAGAGGCTTCTCTAATGAGAGGGGTAATATTTAAGATTGCTGGTGCGTATAGTCCAAGTTTCTGATGAAGATGGAGATTCTTCTAGTATAAAATCAAACTCATTGCTGTCAAGTTGGGATTTGCTCATAGCGATCCATTGAATTCCAAGGCTGTACATCTCATGAAAGGAGATTGCCCATTCTTCTTCCAAGGAACTGCTGGTGGATTTAAACTGCCTTTGGCTTAGCAATGCAAATCCACTCTTTTTTTTTTAATTATTTATTTTATTATTTTTGTGTGTGTGTACCGTCAAATCAGATCTGACTGGTACAGGAGGAGATTGCCCCTCCTTCCCCGGCAGAGCATCTGGTGGATTCAAACCATGCGCCTCTGGGATTGTAGTTGCAGCTTCTTGCCATTAGGCCACTAGAGCTCCCCTAAATCCACTCACTTTTATGGGCGTTTATTTTCTCTTATTGTGGGGGCCCCAGTATTTATCTGAAAATAGAGAAAAGTGGGGAATTTAGTTCATTGTTAGGATGACACTGTTCTTGCTATGAGTCACTATCTGAGACTACTACTTGTTTCTTTTTAACTTCTACCTCTGGGTTCAGTTCTGTGAAATTTGGAGACTTTGAAAATGTGCATCTCTTAAGTACTGAATATCCCATGCAATACCAAAAGAATAAACAAATCTGTCTTGGAGTAAGTGCAACTAGAGTGTTCTTAGAGACAAAGATGATGGAAGTTTGCTTCACGTACTTTAAGCATGTTTTCTTGAGGGGGAAAATCATGTTGGGAAAAGGGGATGATCGAAAAAATAGAGGAAGACCCTCACCAAGGTGGATTGGCTCAGTGACTATACCAAGGGACCTGAGCATCTCACAGATTGGGAGAACGGCACAGGATAGGGCAAGGTGCAGATCTGCTCATAGGGTTGAAATGAGTTGTTGACTCAATGGTACCTAACAACACTGACAAGAAGCATGAACCTTAGAAGCTTTTATGGCACGGTCCATGGAAAGTGGTGTTAACTGACCCAGAGGCTATATGACTCCAGTTGGAATCCATCAGTTGCTCTGAGGGAGAGTCTCCTCCCATTGCGATTTATAGCCTTGGAAACCTGATGGAGGATTGCTGGGAATCAAAACCAACCTTAACAGCAGTGTGATGAAAGCGACAGTAAGATTTTCTTTCTGGATCTACCTTATCTGGTTTGAATTCTGAGGGGGGAACTCTTCAGCCATGTTCTGTTTATCCATATGTTCAACAAAATGCCTAATAAACTCATCAGTTCTAGAGAGGAAACGAGACTGTTCAAGGATGACCTACTCTTGAAATTTGCCATATTCCACCAGTGATTTATCCTGCACTTACCTACCCTGACTTCCTGTTAATTTATTTAAGTAGGATAGGGAGTTTTCCTGAAACTAGACGATGGTGTAACCTTCTAATAGTTAGAACCCATTTACATTCACTTTAATTTTAATTCAGTTCAGGACCAACCTTATACACTAGTGAGACATGGTAGTCGGGTACATGGGAGGATCTTGGCTCTCATGTTTCATTTTTCCAGGGAAGCTAACCATTGTAGCTCCCTACCTCTTCTGGAATGGTAGCTGCATGCTAATAAGTAGATGTGAATTTAAGATGGTTGCATTCCGCTTGATGGGCAGCTTTCTGTGCGCCTTCTGCTGCCCTGCTTCAAACCACGTAATCAGAACCTGATCTTTAAATTCTCCAACTTGAGAAGTTTGCAGCCTACAACTGACAAGTTTCTTGGTGGGATTTGTTGTACTTCTGAAACCCAGATAGAGCTGATATCACCCTGCTCCTTAAAATTTATGTATGTTTAACTTAAAATCTATATTTCTCATTCTTTGGAAATTATGGTGGAGAGAATATCTAAAGAAGTTGAGGTAAAGGCCAGACTCTTTAAGATGCTTAAAGAGACTTTTCTAATCAGCTCCTATCACCTTTCTAGCCTTATTTTCACTAGTACTCTTTGAAATTTACTCTAGGTGACTACTTACAGTTCACAAGTAGACATTTTTCTTTTTCCTCTTCTGGCTTTTATATGTGCTCAACCTTTAATTAGTGCATTGCTAACTTACCCTCTCTTTTACTTGTTAACTTACTCATGTATTTATTAAACACCTTTTATGCATCAGACACTTCTTTCCCTTTTTGTGTGAATACTTCCTGCTTATCTTGCTAGGATGACTCTCTTCAGGAAGCCTTCCTGACCTAAGACCTACCTTGGATTTAGCCCCCCTCTTCTCTGGTCTCATAGCCCCTTTGTTAACTCACTTTATCTTTGATAAGGGTCCAGGTGGCATCAGCTTCATCCAGTGTCAGCAGCTGGGGTGTACCAACCAACATGGTGCAGTATGGGTGGGTTTTGGGAGGGGTTGGGCAGGGTTGTGGCTGCTGCAGGAACCCCAAGCTACCCAGGGAGCTAAGACCCCAGGCCTTGGGCTCTGACCTACTGCAGCATGAGGTCATAGAGGTCTTGCTAGGTGATGGGGCCTTAGGCAGGGAGAAGACAGTAACTTTCCTAGCCTTACTCTACCACAGCGTGAGTCCATGTTCTTGAGTCATCTGTCTACTGTACTTCTTTAAGGGCAGAAAATGCAGGTATCTGGTGTACTTTGGACTTGTTGCTAGGAGAAGCTCTTACTTGGAAAGGGACATCATGCTTGGAGAAGTTGAGGATCAGTAGAAGAGAGGACAACTTTCAATGAGATATATTGACAGTGACTGCAGCAATGGGCTCAAGTATGTTAGTGATTATAAGGATGGCACAGGATAGGACAGGATTCAAATCTGTTGGTAATATGTTTTTTTACTGTAATTAGAACTCAACTTCACAACATCTAACTGCACCAGAATAATGTAATTTGTAATCTGATTCTTTAAGGAAACAGCATCAGACCTTTCCTCCTTCAGCAGCTTTCTGAAGAGATTTTTCTGGCTGCTTTATACAAGTGGATTATTCATTGCTGTCAAGTCAGAACCTACTCATCGGCAAGTTTTCAGAGGCTGCAAATTGTAAATTACATGAGAAGAGATTGCCATTCTTCCATGGAGCATCTGATGGATTAGAACCACCTGCTTTTAAGTTGGCAGCCAACTCCGTACCTACTAGGTCACTAGAGTGGTTGGATTAGGATCTTGAAGGAGTGTGAAAGAAGTATGGGTCAGGATTTATACACAGAATTCAAGCAGTGATTCTCAATCTTGCTGCACTTTAGAATTGTCTGAGAGCTTAAGAGATTTTAAATGTCTAGGTCCCACCCTAGAAATTGTGATTTCATAGATCTGGGGTATGCCTAGGTAGTGGAATTTAGAAAACTACCCAGGAATCTATTAATATGCAGCTCCCGTTGAAACCCATCATTAATGGGTAGGTTATAATTACAGTAAAAACCAGGTGGTGTGTAGGGGGTTGTCATGTGGAGCAGTGACAATGTGGAGGGTAAGAATCTAATTGGGTTGATGTTGCCTTAGTAACTGGAAGGAGCTTTCAGGAAGCCAGAATTGCCCACAGATATTTGAGGAAATTTTCCTTCATGCCTGTACCTTGTGTCTAGTAACTACACTCCCACTTCAGCTCTAGTCTGTGTGCTCTCTCCTTTGTTTCTGTTCAGAGATCTCAACCTAGTGTTTTTCTGAAAAAGAAGACCGATTCTTCTCTGGGGCAAAACCACTCTAGAGAGCTTTTATGGTGGCAGCTTCCCCACCCCTCCACTTATCTGCCCACAGAGCCTCTCTGTGGATCCTGTGGACAGTCAGTGCTGAGGGAGACCTCTTGTGTGTATCCTTCACTAGCCTAGAATATAGAGCTATCCCACAAAGTTGGCAGTAGCTTCAGCTGGCTGACCAAGAATGAGTGTAAGGACACAGTGAAGGATCCTATGAGGCAGGAAGTAGAGTTGTGAGGATGTGACTAAATGGCTTTAGGGGAAGTCATGTCATTAGTGTAAGTATTAGGGTTTTGATCAAAGGTTTTTGAAGGTGTGTGCCCTGAAGAGAAGAGAGAGTTGGACAATGACTAGGGAGGATAGAAGGAGAATTAATGCCTTTGAGCTGCGGTGCTGGAGAAGAGTTTTGAATGTACCATGGACTGCCAAGAAAACAAACAGATTCATCCTGGAGAGGGTTAAGCCAGGCTACTCCTTGGAGGCAAGGATTCTGGGGCTTCGTCTGACATACTTTGGACATGTTGTAAGGAGGGACAGGTCCTTGGAGAGGGACTTCATGCTTGGTAGGGTGGAGGGACAGCTCAGGAGGGGAAGGCCCTCTATGAGGTGAATTGATTCAGTGACTGGTGTAATCGGGATGGGTGTGTCAGAGGCAGTGTGATTGGCACACTAGAGTAGGGTTTAGGGCTGTTGTACATAGAGTCGCTGTGAGTTGCAAGCGACTCGATGGCACATAACAACAACAACAACAATATGTGTTCTGGTGGCCTAGTGGTAAGAAGCTGTGCTGCAATCCCGAAGACCACTTCTTCCAAGGCCACCAGTTGCTCCATGGGAGAAGGATGGGCAGTTTCCACCTGTGTGGATTGACTGCCTCTGAAAACTCACAGGAGGTTCTGACTCTATGGTAGTACACATCAACAACAATATGAACAATATGTTCTAGGGACTAGGCCAAGTATGTTGAATGTATTATTTTAGTTGATTCTTGCAGTAACAGTATCTCATTGCAAATGTGATGAGCCTGATGTTAAATGAGGTTAAATAAGTAGTCTAGGCCATACAATGAGCTAATGGATTATCTGAGAGTCAAATCCAAGTCTGATTTCAATCTTAACAATGTAGCAGTAGCTCCTTTTGAAGTAAGGAGAAAACAGTTCCTCCTGCTTATGGTAGTGGATAATAGAGAGGCATGCTTCCTGATAGGGAGTACTAAAGGATAATGGGCAAGATAAGGTGAGCTACAGTGGACTAAATGTAATCTAGAATCTAATCTACAATCTCCGAGTTTCTTGTTAAGATGAGCAGAACCTGGTCTCTTTCTCTGTTGTTGTTGTTGTTATGGGCAGTCCAGTCTCTTATCATAGCGACCCCATGTACAACAGCCCTAAACTCCACTCTGTCCTGTGCCAATTGCACTGTCTCTGACACTCCCATCCCGATTATCCCAGTCACTGAATCAATCCACCTCATAGAGGGCCTTCCTTTCCTGCGCT